TGGTGAAACTGGTGACTATCTAAAATCTGATTGGCTATTAAATGCAATAGCCAATCAGATTTTAGATAGTCACCAGTTTCACCAGTGTGATTTAGTTTCACCTGCAGCTTTAGTTCACACTTAGAGGTATGCACTTAGAGGGGTGGAATTGTAAATGTAATACTGTTATATAAAAATTCATTTGCAATTAAAATTATCGAATTAATAGATCTATAATTGCATAAATCTATTTGAGGCACCGCAATTTATTTTCATTAACAGTTCACTATAAAATTCGTTAATAGATTATTTTAAAGTGATTTCGTCAAAAATTTCGTCATTGCGCTATACAACAATATTTAGTATATTTTGTATAGGGAATTTAAATAATTTTGCTAACTATGAAAGTTAATTTTTTATAAAAACCAATTCGACAAAAGTATATCTCATTATAGAAAATGCATGATATAAGAAACATAGCTTTAAGTTAGAAGTTATATGTAAAAAGTAAAGTTTCTAGTGTTTGGTAAATTTGCAGAAAATAACTATTTTATGAAACAATATATAAAGAAAAGTTTGAAAAAAAAAGACATTAATTTTGGATCAGTCCAATATGTCTATTTTTGTTGAAAACTTTTATTTTGTATCTGACTTATGAATAACCTCAAACTCACCCTTCATTGGGCGTAGGCAATTATAAAATTTGGTTTGATATAATGTTAACAAAACGGTTGTTAAAATTTAGAAGATACTAAATTCGGTTAATCATGAGATCTTTGCGGAGACTGATCCGGCTTAGTGTTTTTATTATTTTTCGATTATTAATTATAAATATATGATAAATAATATAAATCTGAAGTAAACTTTTTCTCGTCTACTTTTTTTTTTTTTAACCGTTTTGCTTTTTTTTTTCTTTTGAAAAAAAAAATGGAAGGTATCGTTGATCAAAATGCACTTAGTCAATTGGTAGAATTGGTTAGTAATTTTTTTTTTTTTAAAAAAAAAAAAACTTTTAAGCTTTTTTATCGTCAGTAAAAAAATATATTTATTTGCTGTTATTCTTCCAGGGCGTATCTCAAACCGTAGCTCGTGAAGCGTTACTAGTAAGAGATAATATTAAAACTTCACAGCATCGATAGAACAATGTTTTAAATGTCAATATTTTCTAATAGAAATATAATAACGATGTTGCACGAGCCGCAGACGATATATTATCTAATTCATGTGCTATACCTAAGGATGTAAGACTATTTCATTTGAAATTATGCATTGTCGAATGGTTAAAGATTTTGAAGATAGTGTTTTAAAACTGATTTCTTTGCATTTTAGATAAACCAAACTATGGAAATTGGGGATGGTAAATTTTCTTACGGTGAAACAGGGATAACGTTAATTGCAACGTGTAATTCATTTTTCTCTTATATTTCAACAGATGAAGATATGAACGCAGCACTAAACGTAGCGTTAAAAGCTTCTATGGAAGAAACATTCGAAGAAGACTTTAAAAGGGCATTATCCGAAAGCATGGCATCATCGGGTCAAGATAGTGACTTAAAAAAAGCATTGTCCGAATCGACAGAACAAGAAGATGAAGATTTAAAAAAGGCATTGTCTGAAAGTGTAGAAGAGTATGAATTGGACAGTGACTTAGTAAAAGCATTGTCTGAGAGTATGGAAACATCACATCATGGTGATAACGATTCTGCAAGTAAATAATTAGCTGTTCATTCTATAATTCGATACTTAAATGTTTACATAAAAAGAATTAGCTAGCATAAAAAAGTCAGCATTACTTGAATATTGAATTATTTTCATGCATATAGTTATTTAAATACATTAAACAAGTTGGAGTCACGCTTAAATACCTCGTCTAAATTACAAAAATTTTAAATCCTCTGCCTCACTTCAAATTATATGAATCGTACAAAGTCATCTCCGACTTTTTTTCAAAAAAAAAAAAACCGTTTTTAATGCATAATAAATAATGTCACGACTCGTGATTACAGCCTTTATTGTCGTTGGTTAGTTCCAGCCAATCAGCATTAAATATTTTGTATATTAGTCCTGCTGATTCTGCGTCGTCCAAATTTTTCTAATAGTTTAATCGTTTTAACCGGTTTAATTTAGCCAGCAATAAAATAATTCTGACCCCATGATCATCAATTTTAAGCGGTTAAACGGTTCCAATCCTTATTTTGATTTCGTTTGCAATTTTAACAGTACTAAAATGGCAAAGCGAAATCAATTGTTAAAGTCGATAAACTTTGTAAAATCAGTGTTTATTAGAGAACTCACAGCCGGGTTCAGATTTGACAATTAGTAGGGATTTAAACTCGATTGTAATCGATTAAAATCTAAATGAGATTGATCGATCGTTTTCAATTATTGTCCGGAGCGTAGCGACGGACCCTTAGTGTCTATGCAAAGTGATACAAAAGTTACGTTTTTGATTCATTAATTGTTATATTTTTGATGCATTTGCATAAATATTATGAAGATCACATCAGAAATGTAATTAGTCACAAGTGTGAGCCGGACAAAAAATTTCTAAATTACGTTTCTGATGTGTTCAAATTTGTAATTTTAGTGTAACAAAAAAATGCACATGCGGGTAAAATGAATTCTGTTACACAAAATCCGATATTTATATTCATGTGTAAATATCCGTGTAAATCTTTAATATCTGTGTAAATATCAATTTAATACTTATAACTCTATATAGTTAAATTTGCAAATTATTTGGTCAAGTTCAAAGTTTTTGATCCTGAACCTGGCCAAATAATTAACAAATTTGATTAGAATTATAATTAATTGGTTTTGTTAGGGCAGTAACATATCAGTCATCTGATTTGTTATAAAATATATATATAGAATGTTTTTTATATATAAACTTATAGCAAAAACATATAGAATTACATATAAATTTTGTTGCAATGATGTTTCTTCCCTTACATATTAACTTTAAATTAAATTTTATAAATAAATACATCAAGAAGAAGAGAATAAAATGCTTTCGAAGCTGAATTAAAATTTTGCAATTTTTGTATAATTTAA